GAGGAAGGGGAAGGTGGGGCCGGGCTCGGGAGCCCCAAGGCAGGCTCCAGGGCGGGGCGGGCGCAGGTGAGGACCGAATCCTGCAGCGGATACTGAGGGACACAGCCCTCCGTGGTGTCCTCGAGTTGAGGAGGGTTTAGGGAGACCCCTAGATGGGGCTGCCCAACATGAACCCTGCTGGGAGCTCGCGCCGGGCGTCGCCTTGGGCTGCAGATCACGGGGTCACCCAGCGTCCCGCGCTGTCGCTGTCACCGGGGCTGGCCTTCCGAGTGGCAAGTTGCTCTGACAGCCTTCGGGAGTTGTACCTCGGTGTGGGACCTGTGTGGATGGCCGCGGCACGTGGTTTCGCTGAGATTTGGGCGCATGTCCCGGGGTCCCCTTAGGGCTGCCTGGGCAGGGTCCCCTCTCCACCTGGCCCCAGGGGGACCCAGGCAAGCCGGCTGTGACTTCCCGAGATCGGAGGAAAAGCAGAGCCAGTGGAAGGGGAGAGGGGCCGCGCCAGAGCCCGGAAGTCCCTTGGGGAGCGTGTGTCCTCGAGGCCCTGCTTGGGCTGTCTCTGGTGACAGACGGCTGGAGACGCAGGGCCCGCGCTCGTCACGGCAGGCATGACTTCCAGGACCCGAAATAGCCCAGGATGGAAGGAGGTCATCAATCACTGGCTCCGCAGGGGGCCGCAGTGTCTTTTGGTTTAACTGGGAAAGCAGTGAGTGAGGACTAAGAGAAGGACTTCCGGTGCTTACCGGCTGGCTGGCTGCCTTAGTTTCTTTCCTGTCCTTGCTGAGACAAAATACCCAAGGCCCAAAGTTAAGGGAGGAAAGTTTGTTTGGCTCACAGTTCACAAAGGCTTCAGTCCTTAGTCGGCCGGCTCCAAGGCGGGGTGGCAGAGGGGCAACAGTTCAAGGCGGCAGAAGCAGCAAAGGCAACGAGGACCCACACGGCGCCTTCCCGCCCCTTTTACCTTTTCAGATTGAGGGAATCAGGGCGGTGTCACACCGACCACTCCGTGCAGTGCTTTAGTCATCACACGCCCCAATCCCAGCATCGCAGTCGGGATTCAGCCACCCCTGGGAAAGAACGCCCCACCCCACTCGCGGGAGACTTGGGGGGCATCTAGACACAGCCGAAACGCTGGGTACCACGGGGGAGCAAGAGCGCAGGGTGGGTTCCTCCGCAACAACACGACAGCAGCATCTCCTGTGGCGAGGTCTGAGGCCAGCCCAGGCCAAGTCGGTGCCGAGAGAGATCCTGCTCTGCCTCAAGTGTGTCCTTTTGAGTCTTGTGCTCAGGCCGATGGCAGAGGTTCGGTCCTCAGAGGCACTTAGCCTGGAGCCCTGAAAAGCAACCCGTTCTCTCTCTTCTGCCAGGCTATCCCACCAGAGGCCTGGCCGGCTGAAGACCTGAGTCCCTGTGGACAATCAGGGCTCTGAGAGTAAAGGAGGGTCCAGGAACATGCCTGTCTCGCTTCTATGTATGAACAGAAGCAGGAGCAGAAAAGTGCTACTATGGCTTGGCATTCAAGGCCCCTTTGGGGCTGTATTACCCTTAGCTTCCCCCAACACAAACTGGGCTGTAGTCACGCAGGATTTCTTGACACTGCACACACATTGGATAGTCAGTCAGAGAGCTGGCAGACCACTGCCCTGGCTGTTCCTTCTCACCGTGTCAGCCATCATCTTGGGAGAATCCCTCCCTGAGCCTCAATTCCTTAATCTACAGATCTACTCTGGCCATATCAGAGGTAAAATCAGAAACAGTAGGTCCTACCTCTTGGCCCTATTATGAGGCCCAAGGTACATTAAATAGCCAAGAAACAAAATGATCTCAATAAATGTTGATCTCATTATTAAAGTGGACTGTTGCTGGGGATGTAGCTCAGTGGTGCCATCACCTGCCTTGCAAGCACAAGGTCCTGATTCAATCCCCAATACCACAAAAGAAAAAAGGACTGTTGATGTTTGAACTCTTTTTTCCAGTACTGGGGATTGGACTAGCAATGGTGCAGGCACAGCACTACTGAGCTAAATTCCCAGCTGTTTGAACTATCTTTAAGAATCATCAGTTTGGTGTGTTGGCACACACCTGTAATCCCCAGCACTCTTGGAGGCTGTGCAGGAGGATCTTGAACTTGTGTTCAAGTCCAGTTTGGGCAACATAGGGAGACCCTGCCTCAAAATAAAAAATAGACTGGGGATATAATTCAATATACTATAAATGTCCTGGGCTGAATCCCCAATATAAAAAATTCAGCTCAAAATTGTCCTCTCAGCTGGGCATGCTGAC